TATGTTCCCCGTGCCCATCAGATAGAGTGAAATATTATTAATTCAAATTCTAGTAATAAATCAGGGACAGTTTGGATATGGATGACTTGACATTTAATTTTATTTAGGATGCCCTGTCCCCACAAGAAGAGCAAATTAATAATAAAATGGAGATTGATCAGAGGGTGATGTGGGGAGAGAGGCAAGATGCCAAGAACTCTTTTTTTTTTTTTTACTTAATTTATTAGATTTTTTATCATATGGGGTATAAATTGTCATGAAACAAATAAAAGATTTCTATCATACTTGCAACTGAAGTATGCCTTTGTGTACCTAATTTCCCAAAATTCAAACAGTTAAGTAAAAATATAACTAACATAAATTGTGCACAAAAATAAGAAAATATAAAAAGTGAAAAGAGGTCAAAGCCACTTTGATACTTCATGGATTTTTTTTTTAGGGTTTTCCTTTTTATCTTTTCCATCATATCTATTGATGTATGTATTTATATTTCGTTTAAGTACAATATTGCCTTTTGAGTTGGAAACCTGTCTTTATATAACTTTTACACTTGACAGAATCTTATAAAAATCAGGGGCTTGTCATTTTTTGATTGACTTTGAAAATAATTTTCAAAGACTTTTTGATTGTCTTTGAAAATAATATCTAAGCAAAATTTATTCTCTGAGTATATCATGTATCTAGATGTATGACAAACAGCAGTTCATTTAATATTTACATAAATTTTGGGACTCCAGATTAAGTTTCATTGTTGTTAAATGGAGCTTAGATGGAAGTGTTATGTTAAAGAGTCACGTTGTCAGGTTTCAGTCTGAAATGTTGGTTTTTGGCACGCTCATGGATGAAGAATGACCAGAAACGCCAAAGTAAGGCAAGCATGAAAATGAGATGTATTGAGGTGAGCAAGATAGGATTATAGGGCAAGAGCAAGATATAGGTTTACAGAATGTGACACATATGCCACAGATGACCGGACTTCATCTTTTTGCACTGTCGCAGCAAAGGGAGAGCAAAAGGAAAAGGCCTAAAAAGGGTCCCAAGACTCTTAAAGACTTTGGAAATACCTATTTATAGAGGAAAGCAAAATGCTTATTACAAATTCATGTTAGCTGAAAAAGCAGATCCCCAAAAGAACTCTACAGGGCTTCGATTTGAAGGAAGAATAGATTTTGTTAGTCTAGTAAAAATTGTATTAATTTTAATTGTACACATGAATACATGAACACTTTGCCCTCATTTAGAAAATATGTATGAGATAAGGATAAAGTCACTTTCACTCTCTCCTTGCTCTTATCACTTTGGTATGTGTTTTTCCAGACCATTTCCTCCATATTTAAGTACGCATACATACCTCTGTAGAAAAAGTACAGTTCTTCCATTTTGTTTGATTTTTATTGTTGTTGTTGTGTTTTACATAATGCCTACACAGAATGGACCATTCTGCCGCATGCTTTTTCATGCTTTTTCATTCAACCACATGATTAGGAGGGCTATCCACGTGAGTTCATCTAGACCTACCTCATTGTCCTGCCACCTCCTTTTTTTAAGCTGTTGCATGGTATTGAATAAACGGCTGTCTCATAATTTAAGAAGCCATTTTCCTGTTGACGGATATTTAGCTTGTTTCTAGTTACTTGCTTTTACATACCATTATGCCTTAAACATCTCTGAACATACCTCTTAGTGTATGTGCATGTTATTTGCTTTAGGATAGATAATGGGATGTAGAATTTCTATTTTTAGGATTGATAGTGAGATGTAGACACTGGGCATTTAACATGTTACCAGATACCATCCAAACTGCCCTCCAAAGTAGCTAGACAAATCTAGCTCCCAACGTCGGTGTGTGAGATTTCTCATTTCTCCACGTCCTCGATGGTATGTTCTTGAAAGTCCTAAAGCTGCATTTCTTTGCAAAAATTCTGTTAGTCACAATTTTTACCAAGTTGTACTAAATACTACCCAATGAGGTTTGATGATCCTTTTTATTAAACTAATGAAGCTGGCAGAGCATTCATTTTATTTACAAGTTCTCTTTCCCTTTGGCCTTTAGATATAATTTATAAGCAGTATTGATTTGCACTTAAAGAGAGACACTGTCTAACGCTGGCCTCTGCTGACAGAAAAGAAACTAGTTCATTCAAAATTCTATGCTTGGGCTGAAAGGCTAAGGGCTTATGCAAGAAAAGATTTTTACAAGAGGGGCAAGTGTTTGCATTTCTGTTAATATGTCAGCGGTCTGCATTTCCACATGTTTTGTGGTGAAAAACTCTTCTTCCCTGGTTTCTGAAGTTTGCAACGTCAGTCTTTGCTCCTGAGCCTGTGACATTTCCACAGAGGAATGATTCAAACAACTTCATTAAGTGGGTACTTACTGCATGCCTGGGGCTTTGCATTTTTATTCAATCTTTACAACTCTCCTTCCCATTCTTATGTTATTGTCATTTTACAGAATTGAAAACTGAGGTTCAGAAGTTAACTTGCCTAAGGTGAAACTGGGGTGGAAATCTAGGCCTATTGGGCTTTAAATACTTGTGATCCATTTTAATGCCAAAAAAGTTAAACAGACAATCAGACAATAGTGATGTGAGACAACAGAGATGGTAGAAAGACCATATCAGCAACAAGTATAGGAAGTGTAAGAGATTTATTAATGGAACAAATTCATGTATTATGTAGAGTGCTTTGTGGTTTATGAAAAATTTCATGTGTAGTATAATATGGTGGTTAAGAGCACACACTCTGGAGCCAGATGTCTTGGCTACAAATCCTGACTCTGCTATTTACTAGCTATGTGACTTTGGGCAAGTTGCTTAACCTCTCTGTGCCTAAGTTTTCTCATCCATGAAGTCAGGATAAAAATAGTACATATTTCATTGGGTTGTGATAATAATTAAATAAGAGAGTATTTGTAAAGAAATTAGAATGGTGCCTGGAACATAGTAAACACCATGAAAGTCAGTCAATACTATCATTATGATTATATTTGGTGTTCACCATCATTATTCCCATTTTACAGATGAGGAAAAGGAAGCTAGGGAGGTAAGCAACTAACCCAAGGTCATAGAGTCAGTTACTGACAGACCTGGACCAGAACCTAGGTCTCTGCCATCCCATCCAGGGAGTTTTCTGCTCCCAACACTGCCTCCCAACTTTAGGAAATACAAGCAGAGGGATCAGGGCAGACCTTGGAATGTCTGGGCAAAAAAGGGTGAGGCCAGTCCCAATTCACACTGTCTCTTCCTGAGAACAGGGGAATAATTTGTAAAGGAGAAACTGCAAAGCATGTGAAACATTCCATGCTGCAGTGCAGTTTCTTTCATGAACTTTTATGGAAATGTGATATCTCTCTTTCCAATCTACCTCCTTTTCCCTCCACCTCAGCCCAAGCCATCACCATCACCTGTCCTTGGACACCTACAAGAGCCTCCATCTGGCATTTCCCTTTCAACCCATTCTCCCTAGTATAGATACAGTCATATTTCTACACATAAGCATGATATGTTGGTCTCCTGATTAAAACCCTTCAATGGCTCCCGTGGCTTTAAGGACTTGAGCTAAACCTCTTCATGTGACGTACAAGATCCTGCCAGATGTGGCCCTTCCTTCCAATCCTGCCTCACATGGCTCAGTCAGATTGAACTTCCTTCTGTTCCTCAAAAAGCTGCACTGGTGCTGGAGACACAATCTCCTCTGCTCTGAACTTTTTCTAGTCTGGCCAGATTCCACTCATCCTTCAAGCTTCAGTTTAGTACTCAGCTCTTTGGGGAAGCCATTTTACATTTCTCACTCCCTTTTTCATTTTTCCCCGTGACACCCTGTACCTCCTTCTTGACAGCATTTGTCACGTGGTATTGCGATTGCTGACATAGTCAGCCTGTATCCCCCACTGGACTCTGGGCTCCCTGAGGGCATTCGTCATTTCTCTGGGTCCTGGCACTTTGCACGGGAAATGAGAGTTATTTACATACTGATGATAAATAGAGATGCTATTTGAAACTGGGCAAGTGGAGTCTATTGCCAAACGGGGACTTGTAGGTGGAGTGAGAAAATCAGATTATTAAGGGCAGAAACATTAGGAACATTCCCAGGGATAGTGAAAGAGACTGGTTAGGAGGAGAAGATGGTGGTATTATTGCGGGGAGAGAGAGGTTTACGAAAGAGTAGTGAGGATGAGGGAGAAGAGGGGATTACTGACGGAGTCAGGTTCCAGGCCAGGAGGGTGTGGATTAGGGTGACCAACTAGTCCTGGTTTTCCCCAGGACTGTCTCAGTTTTTAAACTAAAATTCCTGCATCCCAAGAAAACACTTAGTCCAGGCAAACCCGGGATGGTCACCCTAGGATGGAGTCTAGATTTCTAGAGGAGCCAGTCAGTGGTCTTGGACAGAAGGGCTACCTCTTCCTGGAGTTACGAGGGCAGGCGGAGAGGCCAAGGGCAGGACTAAATAAGCAAGTGTGTGGGCTTTGGAGCCAGGGCGAAGCTCTGCCTCTTAGCTGTGTGATCATGAAATGACTGAACCTCTCAGATTCAGTGTCCTGTAACTTGGGGATCATTAAGAATAAGCCATGTGAAAGTGCCTATCCCAACCGTCGGCCCACAGCAAGAGTTTAAATCTTTTTTGTTCCCTTCCTTTCCTAACTTTTGCCACTGCTCGTCTTCCACTTTTCCGCCATCCTCTATGTCTACCCTTGACTTTTCCCATTGCTTCGTTCTTGTCTATTCCTACCAGCGCCTCACGCTGAGTACAACCTACCGCTAGAGGGCGGAGTAGAACAAACCAAGAGGGGTGCCCCTCTAGCTCTACCAGGCGAGCTCTCAATGGCTCCTGCTCGCCGAACCCCGCGGAGGGGGCGGGGATCCCGTAGGGCCGTCACGTGACCGGGCTTACCCGGCGCCGGCGCAGGCGCGGTGGCCGCGTCGCCGTCGCCGGGCTCCGTCGCCCGCGCCGCTTCGCCTTTTCGGCACCTGAGGCGGCCGCCCGGCGGTCCTGCGGCTTTTCCATTCTACCGCTGCGGACCGCGGGCCAGGGTCATGTCCCGAAAGCAGGCGGCCAAGAGCCGGCCGGGCGGCAGCGGCCGGAAAGCCGAGGTCGAGCGCAAGCGGGACGAGCGGGCGGCGCGTCGGGCCCTGGCCAAGGAGCGGCGGAACCGGCCGGAGTCCGGCGGCGGCGGCGGCTGCGAGGAGGAGTTCGTCAGCTTCGCCAACCAGCTGCAGGCCCTGGGGCTGAAGCTGCGGGAGGTGCCGGGGGACGGGTGAGGCGGGCCGGGAGCGCGGGAGGCGGCGCCGGGGGACCCGCCGGCCTTGGCCTGGCGACCGTCACCCGCTCCCGTCCATGCATTCATCGGGGCGGCCCGAGCGCCTCCTGCCAGGTAGCGGCTGCTCCGAGCGCAGGGCCTCCAGCGGCGAGCGAGGTGGACGGGGCCCCTCACCCCGAGACTCTCACAGTGACCCCAGAGGGCCCTAATCGTGGCGGACGCCGCCAGCGAAATAGAAAGTGGGTCCTGAGAGAGAATGTGGGAACCGGTCCACTGGATTGGTGGCCAGGAAGGTCTCTATGAAAGGTGACATTTAAGCTGAGACCTGAAGGCATGAGATGAGCCAGTTATTCGAAGAGTCACAATGACAGATACAGGGAGGCGTAAGCCCCACTTGGTAGAATGCTTTGCCACCTTTGAGTCCTTGTTGGATGTTGCTCCCTTTTGGGAAATTGGGTCTTTTTACTGAGCTGAAGGCACCTTCTCTAATTCTTGTTTCTATGGGCCTCAGTTTCTCCTCTGTAAGCAAACGTTCTTACCCGAGCTTGCATGGGGCTTAGACTGGAATCCAGATCCAGCTTTTTGAGAGAACACGAGATAAATAAGTGGGGGCTGGAGGGAGAGAATGGGGGCAGGAAAAGCAGTTTCAGGAAAGGGGATATGGATCCAGGAGTATGGTTGGGAAAAGGGTAGGGGAGAGGGGATGAGAACAGTTAGTATCCCCATTGCAGGGGCAGGTAAGAAGGGGTCTGGTTGCCACTTGTGTCACCCTGGAAGAGACAATGTTAATAACAGCCTGGTTCTTGTTTTTTCCTCCCTGTATTTGAGTGCTCAGGTTGGGCAGAGGGAAGAATAAGATGAAGCTAAGACCATGCAGAATCACCTTAGATATTAACTGTGGAAGAAGGTGTTTCCCTGATTTCACATTACATTGCACCTTCTTTTTTTTTTTTTTTTTTTTCTCACTGTGTTGCCCGGGCTAGAGTGCCGTGGCGTCAGCCTAGCTCACAGCAACCTCCAACTCCTGGGCTCAAGCGATCCTCCCGCCTCACCCTCCTGAGTAGCTGGGACTACAGGCATGCACCACCATGCCCGGCTAATTTTTTCTATATATATTTTTAGTTGTCCAATTAATTTCTTTCTAATTTTAGTAGAGACGGGGTCTCGCTCTTGCTCAGGCTGGTTTCGATCTCCTGAGCTCAAACAATCCGCCTGCCTCGGCCTCCCAGAGAGCTAGGATTACAGGTGTGAGCCACCGCGCCCGGCCTACATTACACCTTCTTGAGCAAGCCTGTTTGTGAACTGGCCCTGATATACTCTTCCCACCTTTCCTGTATTCTCTCAGTGCTTCAGGCAAAGTGGATTTCTTTCTTTTCACAAAGAGTTCACCACACTCCTGCATTGGTATTTTTCCTTAAGATGTAATTAGAGCCTAACGTAGTGCCTGGTACATAGAAGGCACTCAGTACGTTTTTGCTGAAGGACAATTAAAAATATAAAGGGAGGCCAGCTAGCCCAAGCACAAAGCACTGCTATATAAGCCAAAATACCTATTGAATATAGTGGAATTGGGGTGCGGTGTGGGGCTCCTCCTTGTAAATGATTGGATTGCTTGTCTGGTACGCTGGGCATGGTTTCCCAACGTCAGGGTGCCCAGGAAACTGAAATACTTAAAAGATAGTTGCTTATGAGCTGGAATCAGAACACAGGGAGTTGTCAAATCTTGAGGGGGCTTTCATAAGGTTATGGGAAACTTGGGGGATACTACCTCTCCACCCTCCCCGCCAAGAGCATACTTCTCTAGTTAGTTCAGCACACATTGCTTGAGTAAAGTGCTGCTGGGAATATATTGATGATTAAGATACTTAAGGAGTTCATAGCCTTGTAAGGGAGAAACATGACAGCGGGTCTCAAAGTTTTTGGTCTTAGAACCCCTTTGCATTCTTAAAAATTATTGAGGAACCCAAAGAGCTTTTGTTTATATGGGTTAATAATATTTATTAGAAAGTAAAACAGACATTTTTAAAGACAAGAATACACAAACATATTACGTTAGCTATCAGAGTGATAGCCTCATCAGGTTGCCTCTGAAAAACTCCACTGTACACTTGCGAGAATGAGAATGAAAAAGGTAAATAACATCTTAGTTTTGAACTCGTGGATACCCTGAAAGGGTCTCAGAGACCTTCCCACCTCCTCGGTTCCCTGGGCTACACTTTGAGAACAGATGATATAAATAATTAAAATAGTTTGATCTATTCTTAATAACAGTGACTAATTACAGTGGTACTATTGAGAAGGAAGTGGCTACCGCTTCCTGAAGTGGTCTGGAAGGCCTTCTCATTCTTTCAGCAAATGCTCATCAAATACACTGTGCTAGATGCCTCTCAGAGGAGGTCATGCTCTGATTGGGTCATGAAGGACTGATAGGAGTATGCCACGAGAACAGTCCAGTCTGAGGAGTAGTGTGCACAGAGGCACAGAAACACATTATTTTTGGGAGGTCTACAAGTTGTTGAGGATGAAAGGAGTATAGGGTCCAAGGGTAGAAGTAAGGGGCAGTGAGGCTGCAGAGATCGACTCCACTGGAATGCTCATTTCTCTCTCCTGAGGGCCCTATTTGGACAGTGTTAGATAAGACGATATTTCTCATGTGCGCTTCATGAAGCTAACCCCCTTATGTTCGAAATTTTTCGCTGGGTCCTGTGAGATGGACTGGGGTTCAGCCCTCTTTAGTGTTTTGGCCCTTTTGAATGTGGTGATGACAGGCTTTGTCCTGGATGGTGTTTCCTGTGTTTGTGATGGATTGGTATCAGCAGATTTGTGTGTGTGTGTGTGTGCGTGTGACAGGGTTTTGCTCTGTTGCCCGGGCTAGTGTGCGGTGGAATTACCATAGCTCACTGCAGCCTCGAACTCCTAGGCTCAAACTATCCTCCTGCCTCAGCTTCCTGTGAAGCTGGGACTACATGCGTGTGCCACCGTGCCTGGCTAATCTTCCCTTCCCCTTCCCCCTTCTCTCCATTCCTCCTTTCCTTTCCTTTCCTTTCATTCTTTCATCTGTGTGTCTCCCTGTGTTTCTCAGGCTGGTCTTGAATACTTAGCCTCAAGTGATCCCACCTCAGCTTCCTAAAGTGCTAGGATTAAGGCGTGAGCCACCATGCCCGGCCAGATTCTTCATGTTTATTAAGGACTCTCGGGGTGAAATATAATGAAGTTACGGTGCTATTTTAAAAAATAGTTGACAGTCTCCACTCTTTTCTCTTTTCATTCTGGTCTGATTACAGTAACAAACAGTCTGATACAGTATCTAGCTATGGGCATGTTCATTGTAGGCAATATGGTACTTGTAGCATTCTGGCACCTATGGGGGCTTGAGTATCTTGCAGTATAGCACGTGAATTAAGTCAGCTGAGCATAGATTTGTCAGGGAGTTACTTATAGGGTTTTGTAATACATCATGGACCACCTTCATATTTGGTGTGCTGTCTGGAGGGTGGACCCACATAAATTGGATTCATTTTCAAAATGAGAAAGAAATAGTTTAACCTTGATGTTATCCTTAAAACCATGATTGGCTATAGTGTGAAAAGAATCTGTAAGTGGATTAGGCAGGACAATATTAGCATCTCTCTGAACTATGTCTGGTTGTATCTTACTAAATGTAGCCCTAAATTACATTACTCATTAGTAGTGTTCTAAAATTAAAACACTGAAGAATCACTAATTTTAGCTATTATTTCTATCACAAACACGTAGTTTAATTTTTTAATTAATTATTTTTAAGAGACAAGGTCTTGTCTGTCACCTAGGTTGGAGTGCAGTGGCATGATCATAGCTCAATGTAACCTCAAACTCCTGGGCTCAAGTGATCTTCCTGCCTCAGCCTCCCGAGTTGCTAGGACTTCAGGTGTGCGCCACCATGCCTGGCTAGTAATTTTTATTTTTTATAGAGACAAATTCTTGCTATGTTGCCCAGGTTGGTCTTGATCTCCTGGCCTCAAGTGATCCTCCCGCCTCGGCCTCCCAAACTCTGGAGTTACAGGGGTGAGCCACGGTG